TTTCTTCCAGACCTAATTTAGGAATTAGAGTTAATAATGTCTCTGGAAACTGTATGATGCAGGTGTGCAGAGCCACAGGAGGACGAATGTACACATGACTGGGAAACTGATGATTTGAAACTCACAAAAGTGCCTGAAAACTCAACAACCATGGATTCCTCAGGTCAGGTAATTCCCCCCTCAATAGATACAGCATTGGGTATAATGTCAATGTCAGTAAACCTCACACTCCAACTCTATAAAAACTGTCCTGAGTTTTGTACTAAGCTAGTTGTACTAAGCATTTGCTAATGCACACCCAACATTTCCTACTGTTGGCTTCACATTAGAAGCATTACGTTTGCTTGTGAAGCAGTCATAGAAAATGCAATGTATATGTAACATGGGACAATGTTTCCAGCATGTTTTGACATCAGATCCGGGTGTCAGCGATGGAACTAAAAGAAGCAGCCACATTGAGCTGTTAGATAAAGAGCTGTAGACGACAGGCTGCTCCCATCAGCACCTCTATCCTCCTTTTACTGTTGCACTTCGTGTGAAAAACTAATTGTGCTGTGTGCAACAAGAAATCAGATTACTCATGGCATAATAAAAAGACTGATTATTGACTATTAAAAGAGCATGCGTTTGTTTGGCTGCACTGTGAACACAGGTAAACACAGGTTTTCTTTTCTTCAGAAATGGAGGATATTTATTTGTGGCAATAATTGACCTGAATACAAGCCACTGGTGGACTCAGAAGGTGATTGTCCCCTCTGCAGCCCCTATGATCAAAAAAACGCCACAAAAGTGCCTTCTTGGGTCCTTGACTGCAATCTTGACTAAGATGTTTCACTAGAAATGAAATACATCTTTCTGTGCACTGGTGCCTTTTTAATTTCTTTTTGCCACTGCCCCTCAAACAGCTTGAGTCTGCCTCTGATGTTAGCTAACTTTAGTCTCAAGGGTTAGAATGTTACCATTTCTTGGCAACACCTCTCATTAACTTCCATCTCCTTCTAGCCTTGTCTGTCTCATCGGCTTTTGTGGTCATGCTAAAAAAGTCTGTGTCCGTTGAGTCTGCAAGCAGAATTATGATAGGATTAATGATAAAGTGCACACGCTATGGAACAGTGGCAGTAGGAGTTGCTACTAACAACAAAATGTTCAACTGAAGCAGCTCATAACATACCAAAACAGTTTTGTGGTTTTAATTCAGTTTGACTTAATTTACAAAAAAAATTAATTCAATTCACAAAATTTAATCAGCTTCCTTAATGGTAAGTACATGCAAAAACTTTACATTACATACAAAGAAAGGTACTCTGAATTCAGATTAAATGTGTTCTAGCTCTGCCCTTCGGTCTTGGGTGAGGGAAGCATATCAATGACATGCTTGCAGCCAGTCATTAACACTTCTTTATCCTAAAATAATGTTCTAATTAAAACTGCTCACAGTGTGTTCTGCTGATTATCCAAAGCAATGGAGACGTTTTATTCTGGAATGACACATTGCTACTAAGTTTTTATGTTTCACAGAATGTCATTCACCTTCATCATCATTGTAATCTAAAATAATGGATTCCATTGGGTGAAAAAAATTTTTTTTGTGTGATTTTGGGAAATATTTTAAGAATTAGCAGTTAACTCAAATTCCATTGTAATGCACGCTTTAACCTTGGTTTTGTTATTTAATCCCTAAGACGTCTAGCTGTCAGAAATCTGTATAATAAATGAATTTATTCCAGGTCAGTGAATGCTACCATCTTACTTACTTTTTAAGTGATATTATCATATCACATTAGTGAATAATTTTTGTTTCCTTTGTGCTGCTTATTTCTACAATAACACTAATGTTACAGTTATTCTCCAAAGAATTAGAGGTTTCGACTATTTTTCTGTTACAGCAACTGATTTTTTTCTCCCAACCTCTCAAAAGGCAAAAGCTCACACTGCTCGCAGAGAAATATTGCTGCCTTAAAATATATTAATGCATTATATTGAGCAGCATGTGTATCATAGTTTTTCCTAATATTACTTCATCACAGAGTCAATTGTACATTAGGATGCAAATTGGACAGATTTTTATAGATGCTAGAAAAGATGTGGTATTTAGTTTTTTTGGGGGGTTTAGGCTGGTATGATCAACCATGTATTTAATTCTACACTTGGGACATTGCAAATAAAGAGGCTGTTGTATATGTCTCAAACCTTTAAGATACACTTTGAAAAGTTGGTTAATATTAAAACTGCACACTGCTTGAATCAGGGTAAGAATGTATAGTTTACTACAGTTTACTAATGTGGGAAAACTATTCAGAATAGAGTTGTCAGTATCATTTCTAACGGGGCAGCAGAAAACAGCACACTGCAGGGAAGTGTTGTTAGTCCTGTGTTATTTGAAATTTCAATTTTTGGGGTAGGGCTCTTATTTGCTGATGATGGGGTGATAATATTGAACAGAGCAGGAATCTTCCATTACAATGTTTGTAAAAGCCTGACTGGAGGGCTGGAAGGGGCACGGTGAAAGTGGCATGATGCACATGATAATATCTATGGTTCATTATGGATGTGTGGCCAGTGGGTTGCCAGCACTACCAGACTCTTACAAATATGGAGTGGGGCAGTGTTGCACCAAACCAAAACCAGCTCTCCTGATAGAAAGATAGAAGCTAAATCCCCAGACAAAAAAAAAAGATTGATCAGAATTTCCAATCAAATGTATTTGGAAAATTCTGAACGGATTGGGTAGAAGCAAGATAAGTTTAATGAAAGTCTTAAAAGCTGGAGTTGTAGTTGTAGGCCTAACCATAAGTCTACTATGCATTTCAAATGTACTATAACGAGGAAGCAGATGAAAGAACTAAAAAGGCAAACACGTTGGTCATTTTAAATACATATTGCCATGTAAAATAAAAGCATTTTAACCCTGCACAAACCCTACAGTGTGCCATCTGTATTTAAATTTTTTTATTGAGACCATATTTTACCCATAAAATGAGCCCTTAACAAGATGGAAAAAGCACAATATACTATATATAAGTAGTGACGCCTGCTCTTTTGATGTGTAAACGAAACGTGTTAGAGACTAGATGATAATTGGCTTAAATATGGGCAAAAAATATTGAAGCAGAAATGACAGTGTTCAGGGTAACGACAGCACAGCCTGCCAGAACAAATGAAGATGATGAAGAGGAAGAGTAGCAGTGGCCTGTCATCTAAGATTATAGCAGGGGTCTTTCAATTCGCAGTAGTCACTACAAAATCTACATAATAAAATTTTTCTACTTTTTACTTTTTCATTGTGTAGCAGATAGTCCGTTTTAAACCATGAATTCAAAATTATTGTTAATAGCAGCTTAGACATTTCCTTACAAACACACACTCTCTCTCATACACACACACACACACACACACACACAGAAACCTGCTTAAAACAGTGACTCTGACTCACCAATAATTAATGCCCAAATGTACCAATTGTTTGCTCTCATTTTATTGCTGTCAGCGTTTTCATTAACTTCTGATTTCATTAACTGAAAAAAATCTGGTGTGATTTCTGATGAAATAAAATAGTTTTAGTATTCTCTGCTAGGCCTGCATCTGTGACATGTACTGTGGCCTCTCATTCTCACTTTAGTATACAGGCTGTCATAGGAAGCAGCAGCTCCGTTCCAGGCTGCTGTTGTGTGTGTGCTTCACATGTTCAAGATGCAAGATCTTACTAATGTTGCACTGATGCTGGTTTTCTACTTTTGTTTACAACAGACAAACACCCCAGGATGTACATATAGTGATCCTGTGGAGGAGGAGCATGTAGACACGCACATGCACGCACACAAAGCATAATCTTGTTTCCTTCACCAGGAAATCTCACGTTTTGATTTACCCTTTAACTCAGAGCAGTCTATGCCACTGTATTAATTGCCCCTGAGCTCCCAAACCAATCAATAAATGACTTCATACATGCCTAGGGATTCCTAGGAAGCATATTTTTGACTCACAAATCTTGTCATAGTCACGTACAATTTTCATGGGGACGTGTGAGGACTCCAAATGAGGGGCAGCAAGGCCATCTAGTGTTTCAAAACGGAAACGACTTGTTTGGGGCTATTTGGGCTATACAGGCAGGTTTGAAAAACGGTTCAAACAGTAATTTGCGGAGAGAGTCTTGGATTCATTTGTCGCTAAGTAGAAACACCTGTTGCTCATCATCTGCTCCTCATACACCACAAACTAGCGACGGGTACTGCCTGTCGAGATAGGACACGTCTGCAACAATTTAATGACAAAAAAAGAGACACTGCAGGCAAAATGTGTTTGGGAAGTGGAAACAAATGAGCATCTTCTTAATTTGGGCTCCTTACACTTGTATTCTACAGTTATTCTAAACCCCAGGAGCCCTATATATGAATAGATTTATTTATTTATTTCAAAAGTGTTGTGACTTTCTTTCCTTCTTTCCTATTTTCTTTCATTGCTGTGATTTTATAACGTGCGCTGTCCTATTTCCCACCACACAAATCCCCACCGACCTTGCCCTGAGATTGCAACCTAACATAATTAAAATCATACATTTGGGTTTCCGAGAAATCACTTTTATGCACACACACTCTCTCTGTCTTCTTAGTTCTTTTTCTCTTATTATCTATCTAACTCACTCTAAATCCTATCTATCTATCTATCTTCTAGGGGAGCAAATATCATTTAAAGGCCATAAGTTATCTGATTTGATTTTTTTAACCGGCTGGACTGACACCTGCAGCGCAGTCGCAGCTCTTCAGAAGATGCTCTCTCAGGCTCTTCAGCCGCTGGGCGAGGAGCGACTCTGTCAGTGAAGGCACAGAGCGCGCTGGTCTGCTTACACAGTCAAACAAATGATTGTGCTGTGAAGGATTTAACTGTTTGAAATAAGACATTTTGAATAAGAGTAATAAGGACTTTCGCTTCCAGGCTGCTTCAGATGCATTTTACTTAAGAAGCAGACACTTGTTAACTTGGATATACTTTGGATTTTTCCGATGGATTTCTTTAACGATTCAAATGTTTCTCTTGAAGACACTAATTCAACAACAACAACAACAGGTAGGTTGAGCAACCGGTAATATAATCCAGTCAACGACAACCTCTGCTTAATACTGTATTAGACATGTTTTTTACCCATACCATACCCTAAACAAAAATCAAATGCAGTTGTTTTCTCCTCCCACAGTTATGTTGTATACTTTAATAAAGCTTTCATAGCCATATTGCACAAATTCCCTTCACAGCTTGATATGTTTGATTAGAATGAAATATGATACCTTCATCACATCAATTTAAACTTTGGCTCTGCCTAAAGCTATATCATGGTTTATAATTAATCTAGTAATTAATAAAGTAATATTAGTGTTACAAATGGCACCTAAGTCACAGACTTTGGTAAGATGTTTTTAGATGTGACTTTGTGTGTACACAATACTTATGCATAGCAACCTATATTGAGGTATATTCTTTTAACATCATGTGAATAATTACAAATAACTTTTGCCCCCACCATCATCTGTCTTTGCTTTGTGCTGCATTGAGAGAGCCAGCACACACACACACACAGAGGCATACATCCATGTGCACATGCACACAAATTAACAATTTCCACATTGAAATGATCGAACAGCCTAAAAGGAGAAAAAAAAAGAGAAATTGCACAAGTGCTTAGTGTAGTGTCTGAGAATATATCTACCTATGTAATAATCCCCTGACAAACTAATATTGTTAATTGTAAGTCTACTGCTCTTGCTAATACTTGTGACATGATGGCTGTATTACATACTGTACATTATGATACACTATAAGATTTCATATCTCACAACATGATTAAACAATGTACAATATGATATTACTTAATATTGTTGCTTTATAGTCAACTGCTGCTCTCTACTTCTTGTCTCCAGCTGTAGATGCAGCCCTTCATTGCAGTGCCATCCTCCCTGTCATCTTCGGCATCATCTGCTTTCTGGGTATCATTGGAAATTGTATTGTCATCTACACAATCATGAAGAAGACCAAGTGCCGGGCAAAACAAACTGTTCCAGACATTTTCATCTTAAATTTGTCAATTGTTGATCTCCTGTTTCTCCTTGGGATGCCCTTCCTTATCCACCAGTTGCTGGGCAACGGTTCCTGGCACTTTGGAGCCGCAATGTGTACGGTCATCACTGCTCTTGACTCCAATAGCCAGATTGTCAGTACTTACATCCTCACTGCAATGACCCTCGATCGTTACTTGGCTACGGTCCATCCTATACGCTTCAACTACATCCGCACACCTTGTGTGGCAGCGCTGGTCATTGGCCTGGTGTGGGGTCTGTCGTTGCTCACCATCATCCCCGTTTGGATGTATGCAGGTCTGATGCCTCTCCCGGATGGCCTGGTGGCCTGTGCTCTCCTTTTGCCTGACCCAGTCACTAACACATACTGGTTTACGCTTTACCAGTTCTTCTTGGCATTTGCTATACCTTTGATCATCATCTGCCTGGTGTTCTTCAAGATCCTCCAGCACATGTCCACCAGCGTGGCACCACTGCCTCCACGGAGTTTGAGAGTGCGCACCAGGAAGGTGACCCGGATGGCAGTGGCCATCTGCCTGGCTTTCTTCATCTGCTGGGCCCCTTACTACATCCTTCAGCTAGTCCACCTAGGGGTGCAGAAGCCAAGTCTAGCTTTCTCCTACGCCTACAACATAGCCATTAGCATGGGCTATGCTAACAGTTGCATCAACCCATTCCTCTACATTATACTAAGTGAGACCTTCAAGAGGCAATTTCTCAGGGCTGTACGCCCAATTAATAGAAAGTTCCGTGTAAACCCGAGCACCACTGATGGTGGCAGTGTGAGTGTGAGAATGGTACCTGAAGGGGCTCATCAGGAGGAGCCAGCCTCTGGGGAGATGATACCATCCAATGTGGCTCCACAGTGAATTAGTAAATAAAAATAAAACTGGACAAACATTAGCACGAGAACATGTGTACATGCTGGTACTGAACAGTAATGTTTGCACATCAACCTCAATCCACCATTTTATTCAAACAATACATTTGTTAGTTTATAGCCAAGAGCTAAATTAAAATACTGTAAGACTCATTCCCATCATTCCTAATCATGCAAAGCACAATATCATTGATTTAGCGGGGCTTTACTTTTGGAAAAATTAAATAGTTCGCTGCAGCGTTTTAAACACAGATCAGTTCAGTCATTTACACCTGCTAGAAACAACAAATATTCAGAAATGGTTGAACTTGTTCAATCACAACACATCACAAACATCATTTAACTGACTTGCAGCCATGACCTTCACTTTGAAAATTACATACTCCAATACTAAAAGTGTGTGGCAAATTTCATCTTACTTCATTCACAGGAGAGTTTACAGCCTGTGATTCTAAACAGCAAATGGCCAGAGGGCATGACAATTACATGACATTTGCTGCTAGCTAACAACATGCATTGACCTCCACTCTGCTCTAGTTTGAACAGTCATGAAGTAGATTTATACAGCTTGGGTAATCACACATTTATGTTAAAGGGGAGACATTTTCAACCTGTGTAGACATATCTTTACCTCAACCTGGTGAATGCACGTGTTTTTGTGTCCACTCACATATTTCAATTGAATTTTTGAACACAACTCAGTACTACTGATTAGGCTATAATAACAATGACTGTAAATTATAGGTCTGGATTAAAAAAAGTGACCTTATCCTTTTTCCAGTTTCTTCCAGACTGGATCATGTATTGTAAAAATTCTTACGAAAGTTAAGAAAGTTCTGGCTGACGGCATGCTATCTGGTAACAAGTGGAGTAAATGTCACAAATAATTGCCGCCCAGGGCAGTATTTAACATTGTAAATTCCCAGTAAATACTACATTATGATACACACACATCATGTTTAATATAAGGATACTGTGAAGGTAAAAAGGAAAATATGTCACTGGCACACACACATTCAATATAATAGCACTGTGTGCATTCATGCAGTAGACGAAGGAGTTGCTTGCAGCAGCTACTGCGATTTCAGCAGACAGTGCTGTACATTACTGTCGTGCTGAGTAATGGAAAGAGATGTATGGTATGATTTGTGAGCTTTATAAACATTAAGAATCTGTGTATAAAGCGTTGCAAAGATGTTACTGGAGTTTTGATAATCATTCTTCTTTGTTCTTGTGTCCTGTGATTCTGTGATTTCTGTGAATATATAACCTCTGTAGAACATAAGAATGAAGAATGAGACTGCAGATAATGTCTTGGATCATAAGTTGTTAAATGCAAAGACGCATCAGATAGTGAAGTCTCTTCAGCCCTTTAATGTAAGTATATGTGATGACTCTCAATCAGCTGACTGACTCCCTGTTATAGTGGCAGTAGTGACAGTAACTGGAGAGCAGAATATTTGTATTATATTGGCACTTTCCATTAGCCCTCTCTGTAATTAACTATTTTATCATGAAATGGGTAATTACCAGTCAGGGACAATTAGGTTAGCTGTTCATATAAGTTTTCTGTTCTTATTTTCTGTTTTATAGTAAAAATCCACATGCATTCACCTGCCTTTTGTTTTTTTTAACTTTGTATATTTTTTTCAGCAGTGCTTTTAGTAATGTTGGCATTTGGATTGTTAATATGTTTTTGGTCCTGCTTTGTCTTGTTTGCTTGTTTGTTATCAGCATCTCAAAAACTTAAAGTAAAAAGTAAAGTTTGGCCATAGCCAAAGGGACAAGCAGGTAGTTTCTGGTGGCCCTTGTAGCATCACTTGGCGAATGATTGGCAAAGCAGTCACTCCAAGCTTCAGATTATGTCCATTTCCTGCAACAATTGCACACAAATTGGTCCCAATAGAACAATACTTGTAAATCTGACTCACCGCACTTAACCATTTTACTTTTTACAAGCCAAAGAAAAAGGAAAATTAAACTTATTGTTTCCCAAATTTTACATCCCCAAACACCAGAAAGTAGTAGTATCCTTCAGAGGAACCTCTGTAATTAGTTAAATGGTTGTTTGTGAAGCAGGCAAAGCTGTTGCATTTTCAGTATTGATTCAGTCTGAAATCCAAAGTCATGAATATAAATGAAGGGCTTTGATCTGGATAAGCTGATATGTCAAATCTATAAAACAGTGCCATTTTGCCAATGAGGTGTTGTTAATGTTGTTTCATTGAAATTAACTTATATATATTTTTTTAGCATGTACAGTTATGGTGTAATTATTTGTCTGGGAAGAGTTATTTATCTAAATATTAAATATCTTAATCACTAAATATGAAACTCAGGGTTTCTCAACCTTTTTTGGCCTGTGACCCAGTTTTCAGAGTCTCAAAATTGTCTTGATGCCAGAAAATTTGAGTTGTCAAGTTATTATTAGACTTGCTTACTTTTGTATTCTATTTTCAAGAGGGCAGAGAAAGCTCTGAATGTATCCTATGGTTATCAAACCATATCCTGTAGGGTCCCGACACCAAGGATGAGAAACTCTGGTGTAACTGTTGTTCTTGTCCATTATGAAGTAAAATTTAAAAAAAAACCTCATGTCTAAACATGTAGAACTCTGCTTAATTGTTGACAAAACAATAAGTTGTTGGCAGTTCTATGTGTACTATTGTGAGCATTGACAGCTTAATAAATCAATATGTATACTGTGACAAAAATATTTTAATTTTGTATGTTTTTTTGTTGTCTGACTTGGGATTTCACTCTAAATACATTTTTAACTTGTTCTAATATTTAATACACAGACATTTTCAGTCCTCGAATACATGTAGCTAAATGTCCTGAGATATTTTACTAGAGCTCAGATTCCTCCCATGATCTGATTAACCCTTTTAAATTTTCTTTTGATCTATTATTTGATCACTTCAATAAACAACAATGAATCTTTCAAAAGCTGTTTTTTTCACAAACAAGGAGAAATGGAACGAGAAAGTCTAGACAGGAACTGGATGAAATACATGAGTGAAGCTTTTAATCATCAATGGACAAGTGAATAGCAGAGAGAGAAGAAAGATGGCATGAAAGAGCCATGTGAGGTTGAATGAAGTAATTTAAAACAAAAAATAGTTTGTGTTATTTGATCTTGGACTTTATGTGGAATATTCAACCATTTGTCAGTGGCACAGATCAGCACTCAGTGTGAAAGTGTGTCACAAAAATTCATATGGGTGGTGAAACTGTAGCAGAAACAACACAAAACAATAAATGATTCAGAATTTAATTAAACGCAAAGAATCATTAAAAAAGTTAAATTATATAAATCAGTCAATGGATCGATACATATCATTTACTATTGTCAGCAGCACTGTGGTTGTTTTGTTATTTATGCCAGAGACTGTCAACTAATTTTGACCACTCTAGGGACCGACCTTTTGAAGTGATTTTTTTTTCTCTTAATGTAATCTCTTACAGAACTGCACATGGTGTATCTGTTCTTAACAATGTAGTGGTAGTAGGCAACACTCTCATAGTATGGATTTAACCTTTTCCTGTATTTGTTGTTTAGTTACCGCAGTGTACACTTTCAGAGATGAAGTTGCAAAAGATAAAAGACATTTCATTACCTTTACACTCAGCATTGTGCCTGGCAATCCATCCAGAACTTCACAAGGGGGCTGTGTTTCAAACATCTTGACATGCAGTCTATTGACATTTCAAACAGCTGATCCTCTTCTGCAGCAGTTAGAGCTGAACCCCGCTGCTGTCTTGTTACTAAATGGGTGTAAAATCCATTTGCTATGACCACACCACTTGTCAAACTCAGAGAGGTAATTTTTTCCAAAGAGTTTTTCCGTATCTGAATTTAGAGACTAAGGATAGAGGGTGCCGTGTGCTATACAGATTGTAAACCCCTTGAGGCAAGTTTGTGATTTGTGATGTTCTGCAATATAAATAAAATTGACTTGACTTTACTCCTCGAGAGGTCCCTGGTGATCACCTGGATGTCAGCGCTGTCAAAATATTCCTCAACCAGAACCAGTCTCTACTTGCTCTATTCAACTTTAAATGTTTTGTGAAAGCTTCAACTCATACAGCTCTAAAATGTTTGCACTTAAAATGCCTAATAATAATTAAAAAAACTTACTGACATTGTAAAGTACATAACAGGAGTGGTGACGGACCGCAGTTGATCAAACACCACAACAATCCTGATTAAGATGGAATTCACCTTTATAATGAAGATGTATTCCATACAATCTAGGTGTAGAGTAAAGTATTCTACAATTGAAATTATATGTTGATAGATTCCTGTGTCACTTTTCTATTTCCCTGTTTTGATGTGCATCA